AAAAAAAAAAAAAAAAGATTTAAATAAACTGCATAATCTTTATGGACACCTATGATCTTTCTTAAGTTCTTTTTTTGTAGCTTTTGGAAGGTTGTTCATTTTTTTGTTCCTAACAAGATATGATACACTTTAACGTCAATGACACGCTTGTAGGTACATTGCATTGTAATTTTATCTATTCCAACACAAAATAGAAGGTGAACATTTTGTGTTTCACTTCTATATTTTAAACAGTATTGTTACGTCTTCATAAGCGATAAGCTTAAGAAAATTTTTTTTATGCTGTGCAAATATTTTTTAATACACGCCTTTATGTTGCTGTACATGACTGTAGTAGCGTTGAAGCAGTGATTTTGTTTCCTTGTAATATTTTTTATTGTTTCAACTATAACAATGATGAAAACATTTAAGTTAAACATTTTTCATGTAGGTCTTTTCGCAATGCGACGTTATATTCTAGGTCCATTTTGAGGGATGTGCAACTTTTGCATAGTGAATGATAATTAAAATATTTTTCGAATTGTACACAGAGAATTCTGCTTATGAAAGATTGTATAGCATAAAGTCTACGCAGTCAAATGCATAGGACATATTCTCTTTGATTAATATATAAGAAAATTATATTTTTCTTAAATTTGTTTTACATGGATAGGATTAATATAATCTTTAGACCATTTTACTTAAATTGCGCAATTTCCATATTGTGTTAACTCTGAATCTGATGCAATACACAAGTTCTACCCATTAGGATGTTCTGTTCATTATTGAATTTAAAGTTTTAAATGTTTTGTTCTGAACAAATTAAGGCTTGTTTTGAAGCCAAGGTTGAATTTTTAATGAATAAACGTCTTTATAAAAACGATATTAATATAAAGTATAACCCAAAGTTGCATACATTAGCTTTATATTACTGATCACACTGTGTACATCGTGCGTTATAGAATTTAAGACACTGAAAGGAAGCATCTTTAACGATTAATCCTTTTTCTAAGTGCAACTGTCTGAGCTAAAGACGCCATGAAATGTTAAGTCTTAGATATGTTTACTCCATTTATGATGAAAATGGAACACTAACATAAAAAAAAAAAATTATAGCTCTTAGGCCATACAGAACATTACGCATTAATGCTTAAAAAAAGACGTTTAATTATTCATAAATGAAAGAGATGGGGAAAAAAAGTTTGGCCTTAGGTCTGACTTCTGATATTTATCTAAAATGTGTCTTCATGTAATATGTACTAAATGGGAAAAGGACATTCCTTTTTAAAACGGAAAAGAAACATTGGAAGAAACGAGGCTTTAGTTATAGATGAACGAAAGGTTATTTTGTTTGCATAAGATGAAACATGAATATAATTTTGTTTGTCCTTTTTTGTATTTTTTTATGTAACTTTTTTACATCTATAATGCATAAGAGTTTTATCGATTTTATAATAGGACTCTGTTTCTATAAATTTACAAAAATTTTAAAAGTAAAAAGGGTAGCCTCTTCCATGTTAAATTCAAAGTGTGTTTATATGCCATGAACTGTATGATATTGTGTTCAATGCCAATTTTTCCTGTCTAAAGAAAAATGTAACATAAAACATACAACATGGATTCATTTAAAATTTATGCAGTATTATTCATCACTTAAGAAAAAATTTATAAGGTCCAGAAAAGGCAAAAGCAGCTAATCACTTGTTCAGCTATGTATACATTATGAAAATTCCTAAGATAAGGCAGTCTATAAAAGAAATAACACTATAACTGCAGATGCATAGTGCATGCCATATGTGAAAAATAGAACTATTTCTAAACGAATGTTGTGCAAATCGTAAAAATTTTTTCCCCGTCATGGTCTAGAATAAACAATTCCACAGGTGAAAATATTAACACAATAGAAAGACACAAAAGACAATTATTTTTTACTTTTTATTGATGCATTCTACCAAAATTTAAATTAAACGGTCTACCGTTCCTGGTAAAAAATGTTTATTTTGTCTTTTAGAAAATTTTCTCTGGGACTCGAAATCAAGTTTCCACATCATTGACAGGTATAAGTGGTATTGGATAAAGGATAAGTAACACTTAATAGACACGTTTATATGTGATGATAATCTTGTTCGGTATACACGTTAAGTAAACATGTTTCAAAACAAATTATTTGAGAAAAAATAAATTTATAACGAAAGAAATATGCTTCTTAAAAGTTCTTAATCTAACATTAAGATATGATTTTTTGTAGCAAAATATCAATTCCATAGAAGAATTTTTAACCAAGGGAAATATACAATCATTATATTGGA